ATGGACAATATGGCTGCCATGGACAGGACAACATGGCTGTCAATCCAACATGGCTACCCATCCAATATGGCTGCCTTTCCAATATGGCTGCCAATCCAACATGGCTGCTTTCCAATATGGCTGCCATTCCAACATGGCTGCCAGGACAATATGGCCATCAGAACAATATGGCTGCCGTTCCAATATGGCCACCATTCCAACATGGCTGCCCATTCAACATGGCTGCCGTTCCAATATGGCCACCGGGACAATAAAGCTCCACCCACCAATGAGCCAATGGGTGGGGTGGATCTCAGGGGCGTGGCCACCAATGGGAGTGACCAAATGTGAGTGGGTGTGGCCAATACAGATGTGGCCATGTGGGCGTGTTCGCCATGGGCGTGGTCATTGATGGGCGTGGTCACCAATGGGCGTGCCTCATTGCTTTTATTGTCCCCATTCCGGTCACAGCCAATAAACACGGCTGATGCAAATGAGGGGGCGTGGCTGTGCCCCCCGAGCTGTCCCCAGGGCCGCCCCGAGCCCCTCCCCATCCCCAAAGTGTCACCAAGGGCCGCCCTGCCCTGAGTGTCCCCAAAATCCCAATTCCTGTCCCCAAAATCCCAATTCCTGTCCCCAAAGTCCCCCTTGGTGTCCCCAAGGCCACCCCGCTCCCAGCTGTCCTCATAACCCCACCTGTCCCCAATGTCCCCATGGCCACCCCCAATGTCCCCAAGGCCACCCCCAATGTCCCCAAAGCCACTCCTGATGTCCCCAGTGTCCCCATTGTCCCCAAGGCCACCCCTGATGTCCCCAAGGCCACCCCCCATGTCCCCGCAGTCCCCGCTGTCCCCGAGGCCACCCCCGATGTCCCCGATGTCCCCAATGTCCCCACTGTCCCCCGCCAGCGCCCCGGCCGTGCCGCGCAGGGTCCAGGCCAGCAGCGCCAGCCGCAGCTGGACACTGTCCCCAAGTGTCCCCTCATTGTCACCAGGTGTCCCCTCATTGTCCCTGTGTGTGCCCACGCCGTCCCCAGGTGTCCCCGTGCCATCCCCAGGTGTCCCCAGGTTGTCCCCAGGTGTCCCTTTGCTGTCCCCTGCTGTCCCTTTGCCATCCCCAGGTGTCCCCTCATTGTCCCCTGCTGTCCCTTTGCTGTCCCCAGCTGTCCCCCGTGCCGTCCCCAGGTGTCCCTGTGCCATCCCCAGGTGTCCCCGTGCCATCCCCAGCTGTCCCCGTGCCATCCCCTGCTGTCCCTTTGCTGTCCCCTGCTGTCCCTTTGCTGTCCCCCGCTGTCCCCAGCTCGGCCACCAGCGCCGCCAGCGTGTGCCCCCCCCGGCCCAGCAGGATGTGACGGAACGGGGACACCAGAGGGGACACGAACGGGGACAGCAGCGACGCCTCGGCCTGCGAGGGACAGACAGAGGGACACGGTCAGGACAGGGACACACGGACAGGGACACACGGACAGGGACAGGGACACACGGACAGGGACACATGGACAGGGACAGGGACACACGGACAGGGACACAGGGACACCAGAGGGGACACGAACGGGGACAGCAGCGACGCCTCGGCCTGTGAGGGACAGACAGAGGGACACGGTCAGGACAGGGACACACGGACAGGGACAGGGACACATGGACAGGGACAGGGACACGAACGGGGACAGCAGTGACGCCTTGGCCTGCGGGGACAGACAGAGGGACACGGTCAGGACAGGGACACACGGACACGGACAGGGACACACGGACAGGACAGGGACACACGGACAGAGGGACAGAGGGACAGGGGGACAGTGGGGACAGGAGGGGACACGGGGAGAGGGAAGGGACCGGGAGGGGACAGGGCTGGGGACAGGTGACACACAGGTGAGGCAGGAGTGACACAGAGGTGACACTCAGGGATGGCACAGGTGACACAGGTGACACAGGTGACCCCAGGTGACACACAGGTGAGGCAGGGGTGACACAGGTGACACACAGGTGACACACAGGTGACCCCAGGTGACACACAGGTGACACTCACGGCCATGAGCCGCGCGTTGAAGCCGCGGTTGAGCCGCTCGTTGGCGCCGTCCGATCCCGACATGTCGCGACGGAGCGCGGCGGCCGCGCGCACAACGCCCCCTCTGGCCGAGGAGAGGCACTGCAGCGACAGCCCCCGCGCCTGGGGGGAAACGGCCTGGACTGGTTATACTGGGAGGGACTGGGAGCAGACGGGTCTATACTGGTCCATACTGGTCTATACTGGTCCGTACTGGTCTATACTGGTCTATACTGGTCCATACTGGTCCATACTGGTCCATACTGGTTCACACCCACCTGCAGCGGGGCCAGCTGCCGCACCAGCGCGTCCCTGATGGCCACAGTCTATACTGGTCTATACTGGTTCCTACTGGTCTATACTGATCTATACTGGTCCATACTGGTTCATACTGGTTTATACTGGTCCATACTGGTCCATACTGGTGCACACCCACCTGCAGCGGGGCCAGCTGCCGCACCAGCGCATCCCCGATGGCCGCAGTCTGTACTGGTTTGTACTGCTCTGTACTGATCTATACTGGTCCATACTGGTCCATACTGGTCCATACTGGTCTATACTGCTCTGTACTGGTCTATACTGGTCTGTACTGCTCTGTACTGGTTTATACTGGTCCATACTGGTGCACACCCACCTGCAGCGGGGCCAGCTGCCGCACCAGCACGTCCCCGATGGCCGCAGTCTGTACTGGTTTGTACTGCTCTGTACTGATCTATACTGGTCTATACTGGTTCCTACTGGTCTATACTGGTCTATACTGGTCTATACTGGTGCACACCCACCTGCAGCGGGGCCAGCTGCCGCACCAGCGCGTCCCCGATGGCCGCAGTCTGTACTGGTTTGTACTGCTCTGTACTGATCTATACTGGTCTATACTGGTCTATACTGGTCTGTACTGGTCTATACTGGTCCATACTGGTCCATACTGGTGCACACCCACCTGCAGCGGGGCCAGCTGCCGCACCAGCGCGTCCCCGATGGCCGCGGGCTCCAGCGGCAGCCGCGGGTCGTGGCCCAGGCGGAGCAGGAGCTGCGCGGCCACGGCGGCCACGGCGCGGGACACGGCGGGGAGGCGGCCCCGGAGCCGCGCCCCGAGCCGCGCCAGAGTGTCCTCGGGTGTGCCCAGGGCCGCCCTGGAGCCACCAACCCCCGGAGCCTGCGGGGACAATGGGGGACACGGTGACACAGGGACAGGGGGACATGGGGACAGAGTGTCCTCGGGTGTGCCCAGGGCCGCCCTGGAGCCACCAACACCGGGAGCCTGCGGGGACAATGGGGGACACGGTCACACAGGGACAGAGTGTCCTCGGGTGTGCCCAGGGCCGCCCTGGAGCCACCAACCCCCGGAGCCTGCGGGGACAATGGGGGACACGGTGACACAGGGACATGGGGACAGAGTGTCCTCGGGTGTGCCCAGGGCCGCCCTGGAGCCACCAACCCCGGGAGCCTGTGGGGACAGTGGGGACACAGGGACAGAGTGTCCTCGGGTGTGCCCAGGGCCACCCTGGAGCCACCAACCCCGGGAGCCTGAGGGGACAATGGGGGACACGGTGACACAGGGACATGGGGACAGAGTGTCCTCGGGTGTGCCCAGGGCCGCCCTGGAGCCACCAACCCCGGGAGCCTGAGGGGACAATGGGGGACATGGGGACAGAGTGTCCTCGGGTGTGCCCAGGGCCGCCCTGGAGCCACCAACGCCGGGAGCCTGAGGGGACAATGGGGGACACGGGGACACGGGGACATGGGGGGACACAGGGACATGGGGACATGGAGGGGACACGGTCATGAGGGGACATCAGGGACAGAGAGGGGACAAAAGGACAGGGATCATGGGCAGGGAGGGGACATGGGGACATTGGGGACATTGGGGACATTGGGGACAGAGGCAGGGAGGGACACGGGGACATGGTCCGGACGTGGGGACAGCAGAGAACGGGGACAGAGAGACACAGGGGTGGTGTGGGAACGTTTGGGGACACACCTGGGGACACCTGGGGACACCTGGGGACATTTTCAGGACATTTTGGGGACACTTTGGGGACACTTTGGGGACACTGTGGGGGTCTCACCTCATCGAAGCCGAGCTCCAGCGCCGGGACCCCCGCGGCCGCCGTGAAGGGGAAGGCGCCGCTCTCGGGGGGCAGGGGGCGGATCCTGGGGGACAGACGGACACGGGTGGGACAGGGGGACACCTGAGGGTGTGCCCAGGTGTGTCCCCAGGTGATTCCCAGGTGTGTCCCCAGGTGTCCCCAGGTGTGTCCCAGATGTGTCCAGGTGTGTCCCCAGTGTCCCCAGGTGTGTCCCAGGTGTGTCCCAGGTGTGTCCCAGATGTGTTCAGGTGTGTCCAGGTGTGTCCCCAATGTCCCCAGGTGTGTCCCAGGTGTGTCCAGGTGTCCCCAGGAGTGTCCCAGGTGTGTCCCAGGTGTCCCCAGGTGTGTCCCCAATGTCCCCAGGTGTGTCCCAGGTGTGTCCAGGTGTCCCCAGGAGTGTCCCAGGTGTGTCCCAGGTGTCCCCAGGTGTGTCCCCAATGTCCCCAGGTGTGTCCCAGGTGTGTCCCCAGGTGTGTCCCAGGTGTGTCCAGGTGTGTCCCAGGTATCCCCAATGTCCCCAGGTGTGTCCCAGGTGTGTCCAGGTGTCCCCAGGTGTGTCCCAGGTGTGTCCCAGGTGTGTCCAGGTGTGTCCCCAATGTCCCCAGGTGTGTCCAGGTGTGCCCCAGGTGTGTCCCAGGTATCCCCAATGTCCCCAGGTGTGTCCCAGGTGTCCCCGGGTATCCCCAATGTCCCCAGGTGTGTCCCAGGTGTCCCCAGGTGTGTCCCAGGTGTGTCCAGGTGTGTCCCAGGTGTGTCCCCACTCACACGTCGCTCTCCCAGCCCCGCCCCGGCCGCCTCAGCTGCTCCAGGAGGGATTTCCCGCCCTCGTTGGGGCTCTCCACCTTCATTGGGGGAGGGGCGGTGATGTGAGGGGCCGCCCCTCCCCCACCCCTTTGGCCCCGCCCCCACCCCTTTGGCCCCGCCCCCACCCCTTTGGCCCCGCCCCCACCTGCTCCAGGGCGCTCTCGATCAGCGGCCCAAGGGTGGGGCTGGTCCGGACCACGAAGCGATCGGCGCCTGTGGGGTGGGGGAGGGGATGGGGGGAGGGGTCAGGGGGGTGGGGGAGGGGCGGGGACCCCTCCCCCCCAAATCCCGGGGATGGGGGAGGGGCGCACCCAGCACGGGCCGGTCCAGGCTGACGTAGGCGGCGACTTTGGTGTGCAGGAGGTCGGGGTAGCCCTGGGGGGAGGGGCGGGGTCACCGCAGGGTCACCGCGAGGGGGTCACGGCGCGGGGGTCACGGCGGGGTCACGGCGGGGTCACGGCGGGGTCACCTCGAGCCACTCGGTGGCCCCCAAGTGTCCGAACTCGGCCCCGTCCCAGCTGACGAAGAGGAGGGTCCGGCGGAGCTGGAAC